GCGGGAGCCCGGCGGGGCGGCGCGGGCGGGGCCGGCTGGGGAGGGCTGCCCGCGGACCTGCTGGAGCCCCCCTGCCTACAGCTGCCCTCTCCTCGCATCGCTGAACCCACCAGCTAACTCGGGGTCACTGATGGGGGCGCAGCCGGAGGGGTCGTGGAGCAGCCGGTTCAAAGCTCTGCTGGTGCAAAGTGCTGCGGTGTGGGGAGCACCCGTGACCCCCAGGATGGGGGCTTTGAGCAAAGCTGCCCACGGCCGAGCAGGGGCCAGCGGGGCCCGAGCGGCGCAGAGCGAGATGCCGTTAGAGGGCTCCCTGAGCCCACACCGCCTCCCACCGCCCCAACCAACGTGGAAATACCAGTACTGCTGCCAGGTGGGCTTTCGGCTGGGACCAGCCCAGTGCCTTCAGCCCGCGGGAGGAGGAGGAGGCAGCGCAGGGTGGAGGAGATGCCCGGGATGCTGGAGGGGAGCTGGGATTAGGCGATGGAAGAGAGGGGTCCTGCAAACCTGCAGTGGTCCCTGCACTGGCAGCACCGCACCACGCGGCTCTTGGGGCAGGCACTGAGGCACGCCGCGCATCGCCCGGGCTCCGGAACAGGCGGGAGGGCTCACCCCGGGCAGGACTGGGGCACGGCAGCGCTGCCCACGCTGCCTGCATCCCTCGGGGCTGTCCCCTCCCCATGCCACCCACCTCACGGCATGACAGCGGGCACACGCGTGTCCCACCACGCGACACCCCACACCAGCCACGGCACTTACATCTGGTCCCTGGGGTCCTGCTGCTCCTCGGGGGCCGGGAAAGCCCTGCAAGCCCATCTGGCCCCGAATCCCCGGGGGTCCTTTGGCTCCTTGTGCTCCGTATGGACCCTGGGAGGAGTAAGATGGAGCACACCACAGCAGGGCTTGCAGACCCCCATCTTGCATGAGCCTTAAACAGGAGGGACAGCCGGTGCCTGGGGCTCCCCCACCCCCGGGCAGGACCACCCCCCCGAAGAGCCCAGCGCTTGCTGCCCCGGCTCCCTGCACCTCCAGCCTTGGGCATGAGGCCACTCTGGGTGAATACCCCACCACCCTCCTCCGAGAGCATCCCTAGGGCATTGCCACCACGGCAATATAATATTTTTAAACAGCCAAAGGAAGACGGAGCAGGGAAGGATGGATGAGGGATGGCAGCGTGGTGGGATCCAGCCCAGCCTGAGCTTGCCCCAGCTCTCACATTCCCCAAAAGCAAACACCCCAGAGTCCCTGGACATCCACACCAACCCATCTGCCGGCTGGAAAATACCTCATGCGAACAACAAAAGAGGAAGCAGCTTGAGGAACTCCCCCTTGAGCCTGGGGACGTGGTACCTTGTCTCCTTTGGCTCCCAGGTCACCCTTGGCTCCAGCTGGACCTCGACAGCCCTGCAAGAGTAGCAGACGTGGAGGGCACGCTCAGGAAACCACGTTATGCCACCCCTTGCAACCAAAGCGTGCTGTGATCTGGTTCTGGCATCAACGAAAGTTAACTTTGCCCAATTTAGACCAGGGCGTTGCTCCCAACGGGCCTTTGGGAGCAGGTACATGCTGGATCTGCTCCTCATGGCTGGGGAGCTCCAGAGCTTTTGGGTTCATTCACCACCAAACTGTTGGTGCCCCCAGAACCCCATGCGAATTCCACCTCCAGTTCCTCCGGCAGGTGGCACACCTGCGGCAGCCGGTGGTGGCATCCCAGCTGCACCGTCCTGGCATCAGCGCAACGGGGACAAGCACCTCGTCCTCATTACTGTGTTTCTTAACCCAGGGTAAAGCGCTCCTGCTTCCCTTGTTGCCTCCCCAAAGCAGGCAATATCTTCGGACACGTTGTGTCTGGCAGCTCCTCTTATTATAGCCAGGCAAGTCCAAGTGCAGCTCTGCCTTCCCAAACGACTACATTTCCCACCTACTCAAACCTCAAGGCCAAACACAGGCAAAGAACGTGAAGGTGGTGCTTTGGGCTGCTCTAACGCACCCCCCCTGCATCCCTAACCAAGCACGGCGTGGGTGCCAGCACTCACCCCCTCTCCTTGGGCGCCTTTTGAACCTGGCAGGCCAATAAACCCCTTCAGAGAGAGACAAAAAAGGCAAGTTATATAAAAAAATAAACAACAAACAAACAAAGAAACCAACAAAAAAACCCACGAAGGAAAACATCTCCTGCGCTCACAGAGGCTGACATCCCTCCCACGCTACAGGGACAGGAAGATGCTGATAAATGGGAGACACCAGTTTGGCTCTGCAGTTGCTGCTGCTGCTGCCACCATGGTGGGATTTGCTCTCCCAACAGGGGCTGGGGGGGGGGCATAAGCCCTCCCCAGGCTCCCCCCACCCCGCACGGCAGCTCCCGGCACGGGGACGAGGTCCCTGTTAGCCTCCAAAATGCACCACCCACATCCCACCCCGCATCCCTCCTGCGAGAACCAGGTTTCAGCGCTGCACGTTGGGGTTTCGGCATGTGAGAAGCAAAGGCACCACGGGCTGCGCTCCGCTGGGACACGGCGGGGCGGGCAGGAGGACAGCCTGGCTCTCCCAGCATCCTTCCCCTTTGGAAGGGGCAGCTCAGCACCCAAACCCCTTGGGGAAAGGGGTGCACCTAAGTGTGCGCCAGGGAAGGGATTGGCAGGGTCGGAGCTGGGGCATCGCTGCTGGAAAATCATAGAATCGTTGAGGTTGGAAGGAACCTTTAGGATCATCAAGTCCAACCATTAACCTCTCCTGATAAAACCACTTCTAAACCATGTCCCCAAATCCATAGGGAAAAAAAAAAAAAAAAATAAAATCAAAGTCCCTGCCAGCAGCAGAGTCAGAGGAACTTTGGAGTTTGGAGATGAGGAGCGTGGCCATAAGGATGTGGCCATCAGCCCTTGTGCCACAAACACCGTGGGAAGCTGGGGGTGGCAGGGGGGAGCAGGGCATCCCTCCGCGGTGCTTCAGGGGGCTGCGAGGGGGAGGCTGAGAGCACCCCTCCCCCAGCCACCCGCCCCCACGGACTTACCCCAGGGCCCTCCTGTCCCAGCTGTCCCCTCAGCCCAGGGGCACCGTCTGCGCCCTGCAAGAGGATTGTAGGATCAGCCCGTGCCACGATGGGCAGAGAGCGCCCGGCCCCACCACGTCCCCTCCCCGGGGCTGCCTCCAGCCCTCCTTTGCCAGGTCTGCCGTGAACACTGCCCCCCCTCTCCCTCCCGAAAGCCGGGGCAGGGACACCTCACCCCACCTCTCAGGTCCCTCCAGGGGAAGCCCTCAAGCCCAGGTTTCATCCCCACCAAGGTCAAAGCGAGCCAGCAAGATGCTCTTACGGTGTCTCCTTTGGGACCAGCGCATCCCTCCATCCCAGCCGGACCCTGGGGAAAAGCAAAGGCGGTGGGAAGTTTGGGAGAAGAGAGATGCTGCTCGCTGTCCTGCTCTGCAGATGAGACCCCAGCCCATAGGAACCTTGCCCGGTCCCCCAGGAGCTGCATGTCACACCCCAGGGACCATGTCCCCATCAGCTCAGCCTTTGCCCACCCACGGGACACGTCTCTTCCCACCCACCCGCTCCCGCGTGGCCACAAAGACCCACAAGGTCAAGGGCTTCGCACCCATTTGCAAAGCGCGTGGGGGATAAGTCCCAGCAGCTCCTTCCTCGCTCAGCAAGCGCAGGGGTAGGGGGGACACCCCCACCTCGGAGACATGGTGGGCTCCCAGCCAGGACAGAGCCCGCTTACCTGCGTGCCCCTGGGGCCGGGGGGGCCGCGTCTCCCCTGCAAGCCCTGCGGTCCCTGCGAAGCAACGGGGGACGAGGAGCTGCCGTTAGAATCAAATCCCCGCACGCATCGTGCAAAGCCCCGCGGTGCAAAACCTCTCCCGGGAAATACCGCGCTGCTGAGGAGCACCGGGGCTCCCGGCCCACCAGTGTGAGGGGACCCCCTGCTGCCGCAAAGGGGCACAGAAAGGATTCCCACCCCCCATCTCAGCCCCTTTGCAGATTTTGGGGTGCATTGAGATCCCAGCCCAGCTGGAGGAGACCCCTCCGGGCAGGGTGATCCTTGGGACACCCTGCCCGGTGTCCCCGGTTTTTAGCCTGTGTTGCTTTGATTCCCTCCTTTTAGTCTTCACCTCCCCAATTCCCCCTTCTCTTCGCATCGAGCATCAGCTACGTGATGGCCCTTCAAACAGCGACCAGCCCCTCGCTCTCCCACTCCTTCATGATGGAAGGTGCTTCCATCCACCACCACCACCACCAAACCACTTCAATTTTCCTTTTAAATCCTCCGCAAACCCTTCCCTGGCTGAGACATCTCCCGAGACACAGCAGCAGTGGAGCTATCGGCACCCCATCACCGCGAGGTTTGCTCATCCCCTGGTGCGGGTGCGTTACCGACGTACCTTGGGGCCCCGGGGGCCGGGCAAGCCAGGAGGACCCATTTCTCCCTGGGGAGAGAGCAGGGAAGGGACGGGGTGAGCGCAGCGGGTGGAAAAATCTCAAATGACAAAGGAGGGGAACCGGTGTAGACCCACCTGAGAGCCGTTGACACCTTGGCATCCGACAGATCCCGGCTGGCCCGGCTCTCCCTGCAACGTGAGAGCGTGCTCAGCCCCACAACCACGTGCACCGCGCAGGAGGAGATGGGATGGACACCCCCCCCAGCATGGACGAGGAGCTGCCGTTAGAATCAAATCCCCGCACGCATCGTGCAAAGCCCCGCGGTGCAAAACCTCTCCCGGGAAATACCGCGCTGCTGAGGAGCACCGGGGCTCCCGGCCCACCAGTGTGAGGGGACCCCCTGCTGCCGCAAAGGGGCACAGAAAGGATTCCCACCCCCCATCTCAGCCCCTTTGCAGATTTTGGGGTGCATTGAGATCCCAGCCCAGCTGGAGGAGACCCCTCCGGGCAGGGTGATCCTTGGGACACCCTGCCCGGTGTCCCTGGTTTTTAGCCTGTGTTGCTTTGATTCCCTCCTTTTAGTCTTCACCTCCCCAATTCCCCCTTCTCTTCGCATCGAGCATCAGCTACGTGATGGCCCTTCAAACAGCGACCAGCCCCTCGCTCTCCCACTCCTTCATGATGGAAGGTGCTTCCATCCACCACCACCACCACCAAACCACTTCAATTTTCCTTTTAAATCCTCCGCAAACCCTTCCCTGGCTGAGACATCTCCCGAGACACAGCAGCAGTGGAGCTATCGGCATGCTGAGAGCAGCAGGGAAAAACCCAGGTGCTGTCAGCCCGGCATTGTCTCAGCTGAAGGTGGTCACCTAAAATAAACTGCAATGCAACATGCTCTGCAAAGGCTCATTTCTCTTCACCGCCAGCCAGGAGAATGAGCTGGGATGCAAACGTCCCCGCAGGCGACGTTGGAGGTGAGGACGGGCTTCTGCCCCTGACGTGCAGAGGGACCACGTGCCCGGTTGCTCTGGGGTGATTTCCCCATTAATAAGGGCCATTTCCAGGACAAAGACACAGATGCAAAAATGTAAAAGGATCATGAAGATCATAGAATTGTTTAGGTTGGAAGGGATCTTGAAGACCATCCAGTCCCACCCCCCTGCCCTGGGCAGGGCCACCTCCCCCCAGCCCAGGTTGCTCCAAGCCCCGTCCAACCTGGCCTTGAACACCTCCAGGGATGGGGCAGCCACAGCTTCTCGGGGCAACCTGCCCCAGGGGATCACCACCCGCACAGCCAACAATTTCTTCCCAATATCTCATCTAAATCTCCCGTCTTCCAGTTTGAAGCCATTCCCCCTCATCCTATCACTCCATGCCCTTGTCAAAAAGTCCCTCCCCGCTCTCCTGCAGCCCCTTTAGGCACTGGAAGGGGCTCTGAGGTCTCCCCTTTTTCGCCTTCTCTTCTCCAGGCTGAACCCCCCCAACTCTCCCAGCCTGTCCTCCCAGCAGAGGGGCTCCAGCCCTCGGATCAAGTTCAAGTCCAGCTTTCAGGAAAAAGAATATTTAATAAGGATTTTGTAAGAGCAAACCACAAAGTGGTGGCGGTGACCTGGGAAGCTCAAGCCCTCCCTCTTCAGACCCATCTTCCCAGTGGGGAGCAGCAGCAGAAGGGGAAAGTGCCTCCTTGGGGAGGGCTGGGGACACCGAGACAGCAAAACCACTCACCTCCGGCCCCACGGGGCCCTGGAAGCCGGTCGCACCCTTCAGACCCAACATCCCCTGGGGGAGAAGCCAGGAGCAGGGCGTCAGCGAGGTGCCCACCCCGAGGCAGCAGCTGCCTTTGTCCCATCGCGTACAGGAGGGTCAGGGGGAAAACAGAGACCTCGAGGGCTTTGCCCAAAGCCAGGAGAAGGCAGGCTGGAGCCAGGGATGGAGCTGGGACCGCCGCAGAAAAGCAAAGGGGTCAGCCCAGGAAAGGGGATGGAGGGAAGGAGCCATCAAAAGACACCCCCGGGCGTCCCCGTCAACTCACGTGAAGCCCAGCAGGACCTGGCAGACCATTTTCTCCCTTCACCCCCTGGAAAAGCCAAGAGCAGCCTGAGCGATGGAGGACAGCGTGACCTGAGGCTCGGAGGGGTGGAGGGGGGGCATGGCAGGGAGGGAGCAACCTCCTGCCCGACCCAGGTAGGGCTGAGAAGAGCCAGGACAGACACCCTCACCTTCGCTCCCTTCTCTCCTTTCTCCCCAGCCGGTCCGGGGTCACCCGAGAAACCCTGAAACGGGAACAACAAGGACGTGTGAGCCCCAGCTGGAGCTAAAAGGCGGCTGCTGTGCCCCAAAGGACTGTTGGTGCTGTGCAGGGGGATGGGGACCCTCAAGCTGGTCCTAAACGAGACATCCCCAGAAGAAAAAGCCTGTCTGCTTGTCCTCAAGCACAGGGCCACCCTGCTGTGGCTACTCCGCTCCTGTGTCCCACGCTAGGGTTACACCACGCCATGCACAGGGGTGACACGGAGGTGTCCCAGCACCCGCAGGGCTGGGATGGGGCTCTCCACGGCATGGGCCATGCCCATCGCTTGTGCCCGTGAGATGCCACCGTGCCCTGAGCTGCACACAGCGGCAGCGGGGAAGAAAAAGAAAAGCTTCATGGACTCGTGCGAGCGGTGCAAAGCTTCACGCGTCCGCAGGTGCCGAGCGCTGGAGCGCAGAGAGGTCAAGCCCAAGGGCAAGAGATTCTCCATCTGCATGCTGAGACGATGCTCACAAGCAAGAGTCTGCAAAGTGCGGGCCAGAAGAGATACGCGGTAAACCATGTGGGATTGCTGTTTCAGGAAGAAGAAATCGGGTTTTAAACACCCGAGTGATCAGACCTCGAAGGAGCTCAGTGCCCAAATCTCTTGGGCAGGTCTAAACATTATTCTTATAAAGACTTAGGGGCGGACGGTGTGGGGGGGGAAGTGATAGAAACCACTAATATTTGCTTTTTGATGGATGTTTTATATCCTGGCTGACAAAGCCCTGGAACAGCCTGGTGAGGAACCGCAGCGCCGGGCGCCACCAACCCCAACCTCCCCGGGCTGGGGCAGCTCAGAGCACGGGGCGCTCGCACGGCCAGCGGCGATGTGGGCACGGTGGTGAGGGTG